ATATATATGTATCTATATATATCTTTATATATGTTCATGTATATATGTATAATATGTATATGGTATGTATATATTTAAACCGCGTACATTTTTCCTCTTTCTCTCTCTTTCTCTCTTTCTTTCAGTTTGTTTCTCTTTCTATCTTCTTTTATCTTTTCATCCTTATCGATAGAAACTTTTAAGAGGATCAAAAAATACTCGTAAATATCGATCAGTTTGTACGCTTGTGACTAGTATTGTTAAACCCGTATAAAACAAAAAGGAAATTAATTATAAACAATATTATAACAAAAAAAAAAACAAAAAAATAAAAAAAAAACTTTCGTTTGTGTTGTAAGGAAGGGTTGCGTCAAGGTTGTGTGAGGGATGCATTAGGGATTAGGATCAACAATATTATAAAACAACAGAAGAATAATTAACAATTTTTGTTTGTGCTGTAAGTCAGGGTTGCGTCAAGATTGTGCCAGGTTTGCGTCAAAGTTGTGTCAGGATTGCGTCAAAGTTGCGTCAGGGTTGTATCAGGGTACAGGATCAACAATATTAATAAACAAAACCAAAAGAAATTAAAACTTTGGTTTGTGTTGTAAGGTAGGGTTGCGTCAAGGTTGTGTGAGGGATGCATTAGGGTTTAGGATCAACAATATTATAAAACAACAGAAGAATAATTAACAATTTTCGTTTGTGCTGTAAGTCAGGGTTGCGTCAAGATTGTGCCAGGTTTGCGTCAAAGTTGTGTCAGGATTGTATCAGGGTTCAGGATCAACAATATTAATAAACGAAACCAAAAGAAATTAAAACTTTGGTTTGTGCTGTAAGGTAGGGTTGCGTCAAGGTTGTGCAAGGTTTGCGTCAAAGTTGTGTCAGGATTGCGTCAAAGTTGCGTCAGGGTTGTATCAGGGTACTGGATCAACAATATTGTTAATCAAAACCAAAATAAATTTAAACTTTGGTTTGTGTTGTAAGGCAGGATTTAGTCAGAGTTGCATCAGTTTTTCATCAGGGTTGCGTCAGGGTTGTGTATAATTCGATGGTAAGTAAATTGAAATATAAAAAAATAAAATTAAAAAAAAAATCATAATATCACATAAATTATTATTACTATTATTGTTATTAATCTTTGTCAGATTAACTTTGCATGAATGAATAATACGACATTCGAAATATTTGTCTGGAAGAGTAATTTCGAGATTCTGTGCTTTTGTATCACCCTGTATACAGGGCGGCTTTCGCTGGTTACAATATTATAATAATTTATGTTTGTTAATAATATTTAGTAGTAGTAGTAGTAGTAGCAGTAGTAATAGTAATAGTACTTGTAATAGTAGTAGTAGTAGTAGTAATAGGTAACGGTGTTTGTACGTAATGTACAAATTTATTTTTTCCTTGTTTTTTAATTTTTTGTTTCTTTTCATTCTTTTTTTCTTTTCTTCTTCTTGTTTAATTATTGTAAATTGTGTTCCCTGTTTTTTAACGTTTATTACGTTCATTACAAAAATGTGTAATCCATTATTATTATTATTTTTTTTTTTTTTTTCATATATATAAAAACGATGAGGTAGTACTTTCATACTTTTTGGCAGAAAATTGCGTGATAGCAGTGTCAATATGATTTTATTTAAAAAAAAAAATCATATCTCTCATACCAAACCACGCTTTTTTTATTTTATTTCTTTTTTTTTTTATATACGGACGATTGCAAAATAAAATAATAATAAAAAATAATAATAATAATATTAAAAAAATACGTGTATAGTATTACTATTATTATTATATTATTTAATATAGTATTGAGTATAGTAAAAAAAAAAAAGAAGAAAAGAAAACAAAAAAAAATATACAATTAGTCACTGTATTTTATACACACACATATATACATATTATTTATGTACATATGTATGTTKCTCTATGTATAGATATATATATATGCACGTATATATAATATGTTTTTTTATTTTTTAATGTATATTAATATTTCCTGTGTCTTTTTCCTCGCTTGTGTATTTTCATATTATTTTCTTTGTTTTTATCCTGTGTTGACATTTTTTTTAACGTTAAATAATTATCTATTGTCTCTTCTCACTTTCTCTTTCATTTTTATTTAATCATCACACTTTCTCACTCTTTCATTCTCTCGTATTTTCATTCTCTTTCTCATTCATTGATAAAACACTTATGATAGGCATATCGTTGTGAAATATAAATCCTTTATAATGCTCTTTAAATTACTGTAACAAAAATAAGAATTGTTTGAAATAAAAAAAATAACACATCGTAGAGATTTAAGGTAGACTTCTACCTTATCGGCAATAAAAAAAAGATATATCTGTCTGTCTGCTATGTGTATGTATATATATATATATATAAAGTTTGTAAAATACTGCAACAAGTAATATCGTGATGCCATCCTGACTAGGATATTATATTATTATTAATAGATAATATATAAACTATTGCGTATTTGTGATCACAATCATATACAACCGGGTAAGTGCAATTTTACTATTTTCACTTTCTTTCTTTCTTTCTTTCTTTCTTTCTTTCTTTCTTACTTTCTTACTTTCTTTCTTTCTTTCTTTCTCTTTTACTCTCTATCTTTCTCTTATTTTCACGAGACCTTATAATTTAAATCTATAAGAGTATAATAATCGAGATACAAGAAGTTTTGGTTCATTTACTGTATTACCCATATTTTTCTATTTCATTTCTATTATTTTCTCTATAATATTTCATTCCTATTTACCGGTACTATTGCTTAGGACAAAAGTCCATTATTTAAACATTGTAAATAAGTAACAAAGTTTGTAGTTAAATTGTAATAGCACGAATTATATTCGATAGTTTGTTTCTTCCTATGGGAAGGGATAAAACAAACGAACAAACAAACAAACAAAAACCACAGAATAAGGAAGCAACAAAAGCCTAAACATTTGTTTTTTTTTTTTTAAATACAAAAAAGAAAAATTGTGTTCATTTGTTAACTATTTTTTTTTTTTAATTTGTTCAATGTTTTATATAATAGTCGTTCAAAATGAATTACTTTACTTTCCTTATTCCGATGATATTCCGATTTTTCCCATAGAAAGAACCAAATTATGTTTTATCGTGCCCCTTTTTTTTTTAATCCTGTTATTAAAGACGATTTTACTAGAATCATAGTAATCTCATAAACTTTGCGTATAAAACTGTCAGCTGTACAAAAATCGTGTTATTCGGTATTATTATTATTATTATGTTATATTCTGCATTTAAAACAATTCACTTCCCACCACCACCACCACCAACACCACCACCAATAATACCAACACTACCTCTGTTATCATAATCTCTATGGATTGTTTTAATAATGATAAAACTGTGATATATATAGTCATGGTGGTAGGTGGTGGTTCTGGTAGCAGCAGTGTTCGATCAATAATTATTAATAATCATAAAAATAATCAATAATAATAATAATAATAATAAACATATTTTATAATAATTAATAATAATAATATTAATAATAATAATAATAATATTTAATAAAGTCTCGCATATATATATATATATATAAACTTGTAGCAAAATAATAAAAAAAAGAAGAAATAAAAAGAGGGAAACGCGATTAAAAAAAAAAAAAACAAAACGAAATGTATCAACGTTCTATAGTTGGTATTACCCAAAAAAAATATATATATATATATGTATAAACAAAAAAAATTAACATGTTTCTGCTATTTCAGTTTTGTTTTTGGCACAGCATGTGTGAAATGACTAAAACTTGAACGTAATTCAACGTACGGATTGCATGTATGTGTATATATGTATACTATTCAATATATATATATATATATATATTATATAACCCGTTTGTTTTCTGTAAATATGTGTAATGCGTGTAATTATATAGGTTATGGCTATATTATGGTGTATAAATATCGATCCCTATCCTAGGCTCGATTCGATTTGTTTAACAGCAATAAATATAGTACCCCATAGTAATCTGTCATTGAAAAAGTAGTTAACAGTTTTACGGTTATTATTATTATTTGTTGTTTTTAATAATAATAATAATAATAATAATAATAATAATAATAATAATTAAAATCACGGTAATGTGTAATGAAGCGACGACTATATCACCTTCCCTTTTTATTTTTTCTATCATTCTCTTTTTTTTTTTTTTTTTTACTGTAACACGTTTGAACTATATGTGAAATAGAAAAAAATAAAAATAAAAATAAAAAAAAAAAACAAGAAAATAGAAACAAAATAAAAAAAAATAAAATAAAAACCAAAAAAAAAATTAATATACAAAACTTTTTTTTTTTAACATACTTTTTCATTCCTGTGACATTTTCTTCAACAAATCTTTCGCAAATGATATAAAATAAAAAAAAAATAAAATAAAAAAAAAAAATAAAGTTTATGGTTCAACCATCAACATGGTTTTTTCTTTTTGTATTTCTTATTCTTTTTTTCCTATTTTTATTTACTTCTTTCTTATCGTATTTGTCTCTCTGGTTTTCTATTTAAATCTGTAAAATCGGCAGATTCAACTATGAAAAAAAAAAAAAACGTTTCGTCTAGTTCAACATATATCTATATGTATGTATATTTAAAAACATATGTTTAAATGTATATGTATGTAATGTAATGTATGTAATGTATTTATGTATGCATTATTATTTTACCTGAGTTATTTTTTTTTATTTTGCGTTATTTCAATCCTATGAACTATTTCCATTTGTTGTTGCATATTTAATATCATTCGTCATAGAATTTTATTATTATTATTATTATTTTATATTATTTTTTAATTCGCGCGTTTATTATTTATCTTTCTTTCTTTCATTCTTTCATTCCTTCTTTCTTTACTATTTTTATTATTATTATTCGTGTATTTATTTATTTATTTATTTATTTATTTATTTATTTATTTAACGTATTTTATTGTGTATATTATCAGTTTGTTTGTATTTATTTATTTATTTTTTTTCAATTATTATATTTAACTATTTCATTTTCATCCCGTCATTGCTTTATTATTATTATCGTCTATTTCATTTAATAATTCCCGCAGCATTCTCATTTTTATTTTTTTTTATTTTAATAGTTATTATAGTTAATTATTATAGTCACTAGACGACCGTTGTTGCACTTTCATTGACTAGTTTTTGATTCGACGTTCCCTTTTCTAACTTTTCTCCTACCTTAAATCTTTCATCTTCATCATCATCGTCACACCCACATACACAAACCCTTTGTGTTTCATACTAAATAATTCTCTCTTTCTCACACTCTCTCTCTCTTTCTCTCTCTCTCTCTCTCTCTCTCTCTCTCTGCATTTTCACATTCTTATACACAACCCAACCAACATACATACTCTTCTTTTATTATTATTATTTTTGTTGCCTTTTTTGTTTGTTTGTTTGTTTGTTTGTTTTTTTTTGTTTTAATTCTATCATACGCACCGTTATTTTCTTCCTTCTCTATTCTCATTTTCCTTCACCTTCACTTTCACTTTCACCTTATCATTTTTTTTTTTTTATTTATTTATTTATTGATTCTTCTTCTTCTTCTGTTTCTTCCATTTGTTTATAATCGTATATTTTAATACGAACGGCAGCTTTTATTTGTTACGTTTTTTTTCTTCCCCTATTTATCTCACATATTTCTCTAATTCGCGATGTACACATTTATTATTATTATTATTATTATTATTATTATTATTATTATTATTAATATTATTTCGCAGAAAGATCCAAACCATTAAGAGGCACGGTGATGATCGGAAGAAGAAATGTTAAAAAATAAAAAAAAAAAAAAATAAAAAAATAAAAATGCAATAATAAATTTTATCGATAAATCATTTATAATTTTCATTTTGTATAATTGAAACATAATCGAATTCAAATTGGAGAAACAAAAATAAAAATAACAAAAACAAAAATAACAAGAAAAAAAAAATAATATATATGTATAAAGTATCTCATTCTTGTTTACTTTGAAAATAAAATATAATAAAAATCATATATATATATATTTATATATAAAAAAAAGAAAAAAACAAACAAAAGAAATAATGTCTTCCTAAACAAATTTAGGAAGTAATAATAATTGTAATAATATTTTAAGCACAGCACAGTGCGTCTTACGAATCTTTCAGAAAATTGCGAGTCCTTAACCTGACCTTAAAACTCCTTTAGATTCGGTCTACGATGATAGTAATAGTAGTAGTAGTAGTAGTAGTAGTAGTAATAGTAGTAGTAGTAGTATTAGTAGTAGTAATAGTAGTAGTAGTAGTAGTAGTAGTAGTAATAGTAGTAGTAGTAGTAGAACGATGATCCCAGGTAGATAACAATGACGATGATGGGCAACGTGATGACGTAACTGTTTTCGAACGTGTTCTTTGATTCAAAGTAAAACAGCAACCTTCTTGTTGCTTAAATCACCAAACAAATAACCTCCCTCTCTCTATTACAGAGAGAAAGGGGGCGGGGGGGGGAAGAAGTGAACCCACATACAAGAAAGAAAAATAAACTGAAAAATATCGTAAACGATTGTAATCCTCGAACAAAAAAAAGATTGGCAATATTTTTGAATTGCCAAAACACGAAGGTGGTTGAATTAAACAAAAACAAAAAAACAAAAAAAATAAAATGTACATCTCCAATTGTGAAATTAATTGATCAAATCTGCGAATGATTTGTTCTTGTTCTTCTTCATCTTCATCACCTTCATCTTCATCTTCTACTATTACTACTAGCTGATTTTGTTTTGTTTTGTTTTTTGTTTTGAATAAACAGTGTTGGAACATCGTCTTACTTTGTTTTTTTTTTTTTTACCGATCAAGTGATAAGGGACGGTATTCGAGTCGAACGTCGAAGGGTTGTTGCGATGGGGGGTGAGAGCGAACTATTAAAAAGTTCCCCTTCCCCACCTCCTCATCCTTCTCTTCCTCTTCGTTTCTTCGTGTAGCATAAATCCGATAGCAAAACAAAAAAATTCATGTTGCGTTTCGGTGGTATTGATAAATATTTCATTCCTTTCATATTCCCTTTGCCCTTTTTTCTTCAAATATTTCCTTTGATGTTGGTTGAGTCACGGAATCACGAAGAAAATAAAATAAGGACGAAGATTAGGGTTGTTAACAACCATAATGACGACGATTACAACGACGACGACGACGACGACGACGACAATGATGACGATGATGTTGTTGTTGTTGATGATGATGATGATGATGATGATGACGGCAATGATGATAAAAACGTCAAGGATTATGTTGTTACTGTTGCACGGAATCGGATACCGAATGATTCGTTTGTTGGAAAACTTTTAGATTCACCTCAGCTTTGTGTTCACGTGCAATATGCCGTCTAACAGTGTTGTTTCTTGTAAATGTTCTCGTACAATATGGACAATGTACCCTAATTCCTTGATGACGTTGACGTATATGGGCACGCAAATTCGTCTCGTAACCGTACAATTTCTCGCAATATGGACACTTCAATTTTTTACCTGCGAACAAAAATATGAAATCGAATATATAATATAATATCGAATTATTTTGATCACAATTGAAAAAAAAAAAGAAAAACGAGGAAATTATTAATCATTTGAAATTGAGTTTGACGAGTATACACGTCATAAAGAAGTGGTGTGATTTTGTATCGTAATTGGTATATTCGTCATGAAGAAAAGTGATGTGATTTTGAGTCATGACCAGTATACTCATCATGAAGAAGTGGCAGGATTTTGTGTCATGACTAGTATACTCGTCATGCGTAAAACTATTTGCAATTTAAATCGTAAATTTTTTAGAAAATGAAACAATAATGCTTTATAATGTTTATAGAAAGAATAATATTTTAATTTTAAATATAAGTTTTGATATATGAAAATGCTTTTGATATATATTTCATCGTCATCGTAATTACAATGATTTTATATTATTAGATATATTTTTTTATAAAACAATTATTTCATAGAATACTGCAATTAAATTGAAAAAAAAAGAAATAATCATAAATTATATTTTTCAAACTGTGTTATTTTAAAATAAAAATAAATCTCATGGCCTATTGAAAATGCTTTTGATATATATTTCATCGTCATCGTAATTACTATGATTTTATACTATTATATATATATTTTTAATCAAAAATTTATTTCATAGATTATTGCAATTAAATTTAAAAAAAAATAATCATAAATTATATTTGTTAAACCGTGTTATCTTAAAATAAAAATAAATCTTATGGCGTATTGAAAATGCATGAAGTTACGTAACACTCTTCTCTATCTCTCTCTCTCTCTCTCTCTCTTTCTTTCTCTCTTCCTCTTTTACAAACTTCGCCGATTATATTTTTTTTTAGACTGATGGTAGCGCGCGCACGCTTCGCCATTAGTCCCTTCAATTCAAGAAGAAGAAGAAGTAGAAGTAGAAGTAGAAGAAGAAAACAAAGTCAACTATACTACGACGAAAAAAAAAAAAGGAAAGGTTCATGGTAAAACATCAGGCCAATGCCTTCTGGAGATCGTCGGCGCGTGCAAGGCCATCCAATGAACAACAAGCTTCCCCATATCGAGAGGACGATTAACTCGCATTCTTTTCGAACTTCACCATTCACGAGGAAGAGGATCCCAAAACTCTGATCATCATCATCAGCATCCTCCTCCTCCTCCTCCTCATCCTCCTTTTCTTTCTTTTCTGTTCCCTTTATTTTTTTGCCATGAGAAACCTATCGTTAGAAACTAACGTTCCTGAAAACTACTGACCGTTACTGTTTCCAACACCCTTCCTGTTTCTTTCAACATTCTTTTAAATACGCGAATTATTAAAAAAAAAAAAAAAAAAAAATTAAAAAAATAATTAAAGTCAAGTATAGAAACTAAAGGTTAAAAGGTTTATTTAAAAGTTCATTCGCGAAACAATTTGGTATTCCAATATTTTGATAGAAATTTATGTCAGATGATTTGAGTTAATAATTTGATGATTGGGTAATTGTAATTTTTAAAGAATAATTTTTTTTATTTTTTTTAACAATTATTATATATTTAATTATTATAAATTAAATTATATTATAATTTATATTATTTATTAATAAACATATTAAATTTCATTATATTAAACACAACGATAGAATTATTATCTTATAACTTTTTCCACGACACAATAGAAATTCGTATGAAATAAGTAATTGAAGTTAATAATTTGACAATTATCATTCAATTATAATTTTTAATTAATAATTTTTGTATTTTTTAAACTATTTAATTATTGGACACACCAATCGAATAATCGTGTAATAATTTTTTAAAATACTCAACACAGAAATTCGTATGAAATGATTTAAAGATATTCAATAAAAGATTGAAACATTGCAAAAATTGTAATTATTTTTAAATGATGATCCCGACAGAATTGTCATTTGAGGAAAGAGTAAACAAACAAACAAACAAACAAACGAGAAAAAGAAAATAGAAGATCGATAGAGGTATCATCGATTACATTTGAAAATAGTAACACGATGTTATATCATCGCAATAAGAAATAACTGAAACGTAGAAAAGGAAAAAGTATAGGGTTGACTAGCACGCTAAAATGTTGTAAAACGTGGGGGCTTTCGAAAGTCGTTACGAGTATCATTCCCCAACCCCACCACCTCTTTACCATCACTTCCACCATAACCATCACAACCACTATTACCCATCTCTCACATGCAACGCATAAATAATCGTGGGCGTGAAAGGCGCGTGCGTGTACGCGTTTATTATACGTCGTGCGAACACGGCAGGTTGCGCTCAAGACTATTATAGTAGGTCGCCGATAAGAAATAAGGTACCCTCTCTTTCTAGTTTTCTCTTTCTCGTTCAAAGCAAAAAAAAAAAAAGAAAAAGAAAAGGGTGAGAGAGGGAAAGGGAGGAAAGGGGAAATAGCACGATATATATTCAAGTTGGAAATTTCGATTCGATCTCGTATATCTTTCGAATACTATCAAACAAACACGTAATGCAAAGAAAATAGGAGAATGGTAAAGCCAAAAATAGTTAAGAACGCGAGTAGAAAATCGTAGGCGTTACTACAAAAAAAAAATATATATATATATATATATATATAACGTTGTATTCGAATGTTATATAAAATAATTGAGATTGAAATTGAGATGTGAATTATACAAATGATTGAGATTGATATTTTTTAATCAATTCAATGGAATCTGATATTATGAATAATTTATTTATAAAGAAAAAATAAAAATTAATTAATTTTCTTATAGAATATAAATGTTTGTTAATGGATTAGTGTATTTTATTTTTTTTTTTATTATGATATTACTGGATATAAAAAAAAAAAAAATAATTCCTGCATAGTTACGTATAAATTTGGTATATAATTAGAATCTGATATTATAAATATTATTTAAAAAACAAAAAATATAAAAAATATTTTATTAATTTATTCATTTCAGTTTTTTATTATTTTTATTAATTTTAATTTTATTAATTTCATTATAGAATACAAATGTTGGTTAATGGGACTGTTGTATTTTTAATTTTTTTATTTTTAATACGACATTACTGAATGTAAAATAAAAGAAATAAAATTCTAGCACCGGTTACGTAGAAATTTGGTATAATAATAGAAATTTGATATTATAAATATTTTATTTACAAAAAAAAAAATATATAAAATATTAGAATTTTTTTTTATTAATTTTAATATAAAATACAAATTTTTGCTAATAGAATCTTAATATTTTTTTTTTTTTTTTTTAATTAAACTACTTCATGTATGAAAAAAAAAGCAAAATTTGCGCACCAATTAAATATATATATATATATATAAATTTAATATATAATAAAAATCTTATATTATAAATATTTTATTTACAAAGAAAAATATGAAATATTAGAATTTTTTACTGATTTTATTGTAAAATATAAATGTTTTCTAATGGAACCTTGGTATTTTTTTTTTTTTTTTAATACATTACTCCATGTAAAAAAAAAAAAAAGCAAAATTCGCGCACGGTTACGTATAAATTTAATATAATAATAAAAATCTGATATTATAAATATTATTTACAAGAAAAAAACATATATGAAAGATTAGATGTTTTTTTTATTAATTTCATTCTATATATATATAGAATATAGAATATATATAGAATATTAATATTTGCTAACGGTATCGTTGTATATTTTATTTGTTTATTTTTAATACGACATTACTTGATATAAGAAAAAAATAAATTCACGCGCCAGTTACTTATAAATTTAATATATATATATATAATAAAAATTTGAAAAAACAAATATTTTATTTACAACAACAACAAAAAAAAAATACGAAAGATTAAACATTTGTTCATCAATTTCATTATAGAATATTAATGTTTGCTAACGGTATCATATTTTTTTTTCTTTTCAACACGAGATTATTCAACGTAAGAAAAAAAAACAAATAATAATTATAATAATAATAATAATAATAATAATAATAATACTAATATATAATGCGTCGTATGTGGTACCTTTAAAAAACACGCGGAACCGCGGGGCGGCGTTATTCTCTTGGCTTTTCGGCGGATAGCACCTAAAAATAGAAGCCGGGCATCCTAGAAAAAGTAAACGGGGCCGCGGCGGTGACGGTTGCGGGCCTCCGTGTATTCGTGCAGCTGACTATGAAATTCACAAAGGATCCTCAATCGGCGGCTAGAAGAAGAAGGAGGAAGACGAGGAGGAGGAGGGGGAGGGTTGAGGAGAGGGGGAGAAAGGGGGCAGGGGGCAGGGGGAAACAAAGAGCGGGATCCGTGAAGAAGACGAACGCGCGTGAAACAGAGAAGAGAAAAGAGAAAAGAGAAAGAAAGAAAATAAAAAAAAAAACAAGAGAGAAAGAGAATGAGCCTGAGACAAAGGCACAAGAAAGAAAAAGATAGAAAGTGTGCGTTTGTGGTATATGTGTGTACATGTGTGTGTGTATGTTTCCACGGGATGAGAAAAAGAGAAAAAGAGAGAGAGAGAGAGAGAGACAGATATAGGGCCGCGGGGTTAGATACGCCCCTGAGAGACATGCAGAAACGCAAAACGATGCCGAAAGGCTCAGGAAGCGAAAATGATCGCTTCCGAGAAAAGGAACCCACCGCCACTGACGCCGCCATCTGCTTTGCTTAGAAATCGCTTGATTTCGAGACCATTTTTGCTTAGATATATATTTATATATATATCGATCATTATCGTATTATCATTTTATTTGTAGGGTTCAATTTTCAAGTCAATTTTATTGGATATACTAGCAAAAATTATTTCAATCTAATAATAATAGAATAATTAATTAATTAATTAATTATGGATGTGAGATTGGTTTGATTTTATTTGAATTTGATTATATTGGTAGTAATTACACATACATACACATATATATGTATTTAAATTATTGGAAAATATATAATTGAAACTAGCTGAAGCACCCTCACACGTTACTGTAGCTCATGTGAATCAAAATATGACGTTTT